TACTCCCCAGTGCCACCGATATCTCCTGGAAGGAAATAAACAACAGATACTGAGCCTAGTTGATCCTTCCTTGTAGTGTCAGAAAACTGCAGATCAAGCCTTAGCCCAAATGGCAGGGATGCCCCTTGCAGACATCATTATAAAACAGCTGGAGTCAGAGGCTTGGGGAAGCTACTCAAAAAATAGATTTTAGAACTCATTGAGCAACTGGGATGGCCATGACAGCCCTGAAGATGCAGTTGATGGAGTATGACCTCCAGTTTTCAGAGATTTTAGCAACTCCCACTGCTCCTATGACAGTGAACACAGAGTAGATAAGTACTAATCAACTTTCTTCCACAAAGTTTACAAAACATAAAACTTTATCTGCACTTATAATACTAAATTAACACATTTTCAGTCACTTACTGAATCTTTTAACCCTCTTTATTAGAGCCTACACTGCAACGAAACTTGGGTTAGTTTTCTTAAATACAAAAAAAGTGGGTTTTGAAGTACCTTTATCACTTACTTAACGTAAAATTTAATTTACCAAATTAGATGTGATCTAACTCCTTAGAATATCTCTAACATCATAAAACTACATGTACTTCCTTGCTACAGCAGGAATACCAGGGGAGGTTGCTTAGGGTCCTTAGTGCTGAAAGTTTAATTATTTTCACAAAGTCATTTATCTGTGGATGATCCTGGTTTAAGATCACATAAGGATGAGAATCCCAAGGCTCATTTCCAATTCCATCCTCCTTGCAATCTTCAACAAAACCACAAACCAGACCATAACTCCATGGAATATCTCAAAGCAGACAAGGCACTGATCTAGCAGTCAATGGGGCATAAGTAAAATTTCAACTGTATTTTGTCAGCACCTGGTCAGCTGGGAGTGAAGAAGAAAGTTAACTTTCAGGACACTTTTTAATGACAGGGGAAGGGTCAAGAACATCATCCCATGAAGGTGGGAACACTGGTTCGGTCCAGAAGACTGGAACATCTATTGGGGCAGCCAGAAGAGCCAGCCCATAAGTGAACTTGCTTCCCAGCAAGTTCTGGGCAATACCCAGAATTAATTAACATGAATTAATGAATTGGCATCCTTTTAGCCCAACAATTGAGTAAACACAATAAACTTAGTTTCTTTGTTTTTTCTCCTTCCCTCTGACCACAAGCATAAACAGATTTACCTTAAGTTGCCCCCCTAAAAATATGTATGAAGAGAGAGACCTGTTTAAGAAATCTTTACCATAATACTTTCCATCAGGTTTTATATCCCAGAAGGAGAAAGGCTTTTCCACCAATCTTCCTGGACTTGTACATAAGTATCCTGGTTCTGTTACACACGCAGACCTTTGCTGGAGTATTTGTCTGTCCTGATCTTAAAACAGAATTTCATCTAAGGGGTATCAGTCAACAAAATAGGAGAGTAGTATTCTTCAACCATTAACAAGGGGCTAAAGAGTCAGTTCTAATGCACCTTCAAAAGGTAACTAAGAAAACCAGGAAAATTGCTGTCAGCATTACAGGGACTCTGCTTCCCATATTTTAAATTGATACTACTCCTCTCCCACCCCAACAGAGCTTAATTTTTCCAAACTTTAATAACCAACTGAGAGCAGCTGGATGTTAGCCTGTGTCTACCTGTTTCTTAAAGCTGTCTTAGGGAAAAAGTTACATTTCTGGTTATACATGGAAGTCTGACCAAAAATCCCTTTCAGTGAGAGGAAATAACCACCCCATGTTCCCTAACCCTGCAAGGGTTAGCAAACCATGCTGTGATCATGTACAGGTGGTTCTAAATCAGGCAAAACTACACCCTTCTACCAAAACTCTGCATGACACTAAAACACAAAATACGCAACATTTTGTCTGGGTTTAAGCACCATGGTTTTAGATTAGTATTTTAAAAATTCAGATCTGAGGAGCTGTAACACCAGAAGTCTGACAAAAGCTGAAATCACAAATGAATGTCTCAGAGACACGGCATCATTCATTCTGGAAGTCTTGAGATTAATGTCCTGTCAGCCAGTTCCAACTTGTTATTGCAGTTGTGAATTAGAACAGTCTATTCTGTCATTTCTATATAAAAGACTATTTAAGATCAGAGCATCACTGCCCTTTTTTCCTTAAGCATCAGAAATCATTAACACAGATTACTGATCAACAGTACAGCTACATAATTAGTTTCCATTGCAAACTACCTTTCTTACTCTATCCTAGAGCATCTGCTTGCATTTTATAAGCAAAGTTACAATCACAATGACAAGTATGGTCTGTAAGTAACATTCTACTCTGGCTACGCCGTGTTAATGTCACAGTCCAGAGCCTTGTTTCTGGAAGCACGTGGTGTTAAGTTTCACAGACTACAATCTAATTTTGTTTACTGCTGTTTGCACACTTCTGCTTTGCACAGAGTGGGGTTGGTCTGACAGTTTTCTTACCGGGCTGTGCCGATTCATGACCGTGGTGCTGTTCCTGCGGGTTCGCAAGACGTTGGCCTGGAACACCTGTGAATTATCGCTGTGAAAAGAAACATTTGTCAAATGCAAAAGCCATTTCCTCCCTATCAAAGAGTACCTCTTAATATAAGCTCAGTTTCCAATGCTATGACAGCTGTCATGTCAAGACAAAGCACTCCAGAGACAGGTGTAAGAACTCTTATAGCTTGTTGGCAGAGAGTGTAAATCAAATTGTTCATCCTCCAGTTCCCAGCTACTTCAATTAATGATTTTAATTAATCATATTGAGTCTGCAGAACAACTGAAAAATTGTTTAGACTGCTCATTTCTGTGGGAATTTCTTATGTTTGGAATGGCTGCAGTTTGTACACTGCTTTGAATGTCATTCAACAGAACAAATGTATAAATGGCTTGTAACTGAAACCAGCTTCAATCCCATAGGTAAAATAGAATTTAAAAATACAGTATCGTGATACATCTTACCACTATGACATTTAATAAGTTCTAAACTTTTTTCCAGGAAAAGTTAAATTAAACATACAGTGAAATCAGTTTTTAAAGCCCCACAGCATTCACTGAAATAGTGTACAATTATTTATTTTATATAAAATGAGCTCCTTTCTCAAGGAAACTTTAGTTCTATTGATTCCTAAAGCAAATGTCACTGGTCATGTCATCACTAGTGTTATCAACAGCCAATGATCAGCACTTAATGAATGCAACTGCAGAAATTAAGTAACTTTTATGGTTGCTAGAATAAAAATTCTGAGCCACAATCCTACAAATCCCCATGCTCAAAAATCAGTGAGGAACTGCACAGATGAACAGATCCAAATGTAAGACTGTAAATATATCCAAATTACAAGAATTCACTGGGTTGTATCTTTTTGTTTCAGCTAATAACTTGGGGTGAAAAAAAGCCCCACACAAATATCATTTCTTAAAACTAACCTGATCAACAGTGACCTTGTTCTAAGGACTGATAATCATAATGCACTTTTAAGACACATCATTATCAGAATCCTCTGGTTTAAAACACACCAGTTAGACACATATGTTTTAGACAGATTTTATCTAGCTGTAAATAAAAAACAAACAAAGCTTATACTGTGAAATAAAAGCCAACCACAATTGGCATAAGCACTGTACTTTTTGCCAAGAAAAATGCATTGACTCTCCTTCTCTAAAGCATCAAGTACACAGGACCAGACATCATTTACAATTTTCCCAGAAGTTTCATTCAGCTCACACCCACGAGACATTATTTGTTACCATTTGACAGGAGGTGGAACTGGAAAAATTTAAGGGATCCATGACATGATGTTTAGAGATGAGATTTACTGACTGAGGCCAACAGCTACAAATTCTTTTCAGTGTAAGTGTACTGGTTGGCATGCAAACACAACACAAACAGCACATCCTGAGATCCAGAGCCTGAGTCAAGAAAACAGGTTGGAACGATTCTGCACCACATTTCCATAGGCTGAGTCCAATACTCAGTGCTAACTAGCAGAGAGGAAGAGAAAAAACCCTACAAATATCCTTACCTTTAATCTCCCTTGCAAAAACATCAGAGCTGGTCAGAACTCAGGCTTACCTTTCACAGAAAACTCCTACAGTTCCTATTAAAAATCAATTTTATTTGGCACAAAACCAAGACTTAAAAGTTCTGTGAAAGGTAACTTCCATGATTTAAAATATTCCGTTTAAAACTATTCTCTGGCTCTATGGCAACTCATCCTCCAAGTTCCTTACTAATTCTGTTAATGAAGAAGTTAAACAGGAGGCAGAGGAGAAAAAGAAAGCTGTGCAAGAGCAAGAGCTTTTGTTTCAGTTTACCCAACAAAGCCATTCTGGGAAAAAACTGAAGTTTCTTGCCAAGAGCTGCAATCTTGCAAAAACAATATTCTGATGGAAAATTCCAAACTAGCAGGCAAACCACTGCAACCACCTCAAATTAGTTCAATGGCATTTCAGTTTAATTTGTATGAACACCTAACATATAGTATATGCACAGTTTCAAGGCAGGAGCTCAGGCTTATCTTTCTAGCTGCCCAAACCCTGAAGTAAATAATTTGAGTTTTTTAAAAGTCACGGGTCTTACAGTTTGTAAGAAACAACTTACAAAAGGCTGAGATTATAAAAACATCTTGTCCCAGTTACACAATTAGTTTACCTGCTCAGAAACCTCCCTGAGGAGAACTGCCATACACAGCACTTCCATACTGCTTTGAAATGTAAAATGGGGGTTGTTTCATTATGATTATGCAAAAGAACCACAATTACGTTTACTTAACATTAAATCGTAATGGAATAGGCAAAAATTAGTATTTCCTCGGAACTGTCAGGCACAGTTAACCATTCTGGCACAAGAGATGTGAGATTTCTTCCTCACTTGATATCCAGTTCCTTACAGAAAACACGAAGAAAAAAAAAAAACAAACCACCAGGAAGTGCTTATCATGTAATATACCATGTTTTATGAAGTTTATTGCAGATATTCCCTCCCAAATTGCAGACACAGTATTAGCAGGAGCACATGGACCGCCTTACAGTCCGACGGTAGCCACACCATGTAGCAGATGGGGCATCTCCCAACTTCACAACAGCCCACAGGAGACAAGAAACAGCACTCTGAGTTACAAACTTACCCAAACAGAAACTGTACAGGAGACCCTCCCTAACTGAGAGCTTTTTTCCCCGGCCCTTGCCTGGAACTGCCGCTTTCTCTCCTGTCAGCTGAAGACCTGGCAAACACCCAACCCTCCCTGCAAACAGCACCTGCCACAGGCCGATGGCAATATCCAAGCACAGTTGCCCACACAACGCTTTGTCTTTCTCCCAGTAATACATACCGAAAAAATTAGCATCGTCCAGAAAAATTCCTGGACACCTGATACACTGTTTTACACTAAATGTAAAACTTAGGTCAGGGTCCCATGAAATGACCTTCCTCGCCGAAACTGCCTGGTTGCTCTGAAAGCATTTACTGTTGTATATCATACACAGGGCATTGATTTAATTTGTTCAGACTCGAGCCATTACAGAAATCACCGCGATTGTTATTCTATCCACAAGAACGGCCACAACCTCCACGCTGCGGACCAGCGTGCTGCTTCTCAGCTACACAACGCACAGCAGACCTGCACGAAAACAAAGCGGTTTAGTAAAGCCACAGCACGTCTCCCTAGACTTCCTCGCACCTCTCCACACTTGGATGCTTTGCCTAAACCCTTGGCCGCTCGGGACAGCGCTCAGGAACCCACTTTTCCCCAGGGCGCCGCGGAGCACCCCCGGAGCATCCCCGGGGCTGTGCCCGGCCGGGACGGGCGCGGAGCCCGTCCGGGCTCCTCCCCGGAGCCCCCCGGGGCCCTCACCTGAGCCCATGGATCAGCGGGGCGCTGTTCGACCTCCTCAGGCCGCCGCCGTCGCCCGGGCCCGCGGCGCTCCCCGGCGGCAGCTCCAGGTCCAGCTCCATCTTCTCCTGAGCCATCGCGGCGGCGGCTCCGGCTCCTCCCGCTCCGCCCATTCACCGCCGCGGCTCCTCAGGACGGAGCTGCCCCGGCCCTGCCGAGCCCGGGGACGCCGGGGCGGCCGCAGTGGCAAAGCCGCATCCCGGGGGTGCGGGGGCGGCCCCGTTCCCGTCCTGATCCCGATCCCGATTCCCGGCCCCCGGGCCGCTCTCCCCGCTCGGCCCCAGCGCGGGCGGGCCCGGCCGCAGGGCGCAGGCGCAGCGCTCCGGCCGCGCTCGGAGTCACAGCTATGAGGGGTTTTAAGGGTATAAAATGTGTCTCTCAGCGCTCTCTCGTAAGGGCTGCAGCGCTGACCTTTAAATGCATCAAATATCGTCTTTGAGTTCACACCGAGCCGTTGCCGCTCTCGGAAATAACAGAGCGGGTGGCTCTGTGCAGGCCCAGACAACTCTAGGAATGGAGAAGAAAAAAACCCAAACATTTTCAAAATACTTTTGATAGCTGATATGTCCTTAGTTTGTACCTAGAGGAGGTTGTGGTGATACAGTTCGGGAGATCAATGGTGCTCGCTGGTGCTGAGGATCTTAACGCTTGGAAAGAAGTGGGGAGTCCTTGTGCTTTGCCTTAATAGGGCAATTAATCATAGCTCATTTCATCCCACTCCCCTGCCATGGGAAGGGACACCTTCCACTAGACCTGGTTGCTCCAAGTCTCATCCAACCTGGCCTTGAACATTTCCAAAGATGGGACATCCACAGCTTCTCTGGGCAGCCTGTGCTGGGTCCTCACCACCCTCACAGGGAAGAACTTCTCCTAATATCTAATATAAACCTACTCTCTTTTAGTTTGAAGCCATTTTCCCCTTGTTCTGTCACTCCATGCTGTTGTAATGGTCTCTCTCTGTCTTTCCTTCAGGTTTCCTGCAGGTCCTGGAAGGCCGCAATTATGACACCCCAAAGCCTTCTCTTCTCCGGGCTGAACAATCCCAATCGTCTCAGCCTTTCCTCGTAGGGAGGACACTCCATCTCTTCATCTATTATATTCCAGGTGAGAGTTTCAGGCAGTCCTTAAGAACAGAAATAATCAGAGAAGAAAGATAGATTATAGAGAGAAAAAATACTTTTGTTCATGGGTCCTATGCTTACTAATTTATCTGAGGCTGATGGCTTTTTGTAACTGTGACTGTGTTTATTTCGCCCACAGGGATATTTTCCCTGACACTGTCAAATATCTCCTACATCATCACCCACACCTTCATGTTCACCAGTCTCTCTGTCACTTTATCCACCTATCTCATTCTCCCAGTCCCCATTTCCCCACTTTGAATCTCCATTCTTCACCGGTATCCTCCCAAGGCTCTGTTTAACGTGTTCTCTCCTTTGTTAATCCCTCTTGCCATGGTCATTTACGCTGTTTTTCTAACTCAACAACTTGTGATTTCCTCATTTCCATCCTTCTGTTCCATAGCACAACTCTCTTGCAGACACCTCCCCTTTTCTCTGCCTCGTTACTCTCCTCAGCCATTTGAGGGTCACCTTGGCAGTTCCCACTTTTTCTTGTATACGTGTTTCCACTGAGATTCTCTTGGCTATAGTAAACCCTGGTTGGACAGTAGGATGATGAGACTGGCACTGGAAAATGTGAGCACATGGAGCAGATGTTATTTAGCTCTCAGACACATTTTGGATATTACTGACCTTTTCCTTAACATTGTCTTGGTACATGGCATTTGAAGCTGTTTACTGTCCTTAGTGGCAAAGATATAAAATAATAACTCCACAGTAACAATAAATAGCAAAATCCACAGTAGTGGATGTAGTCAGATTCTGCAGGTGGCTTTTCTATTAACAGAACCACCATTGGTGTGAGTAGATTTTCATTCAGGGCTAGATGTTTTGCTAGATACTGTCACCTGAATTGCCGTTTAGGCAATTCCAGCCATGGAAAGTGAAGGTATGGAAGCTCTTCCAAGCTCTGAAATGTTTGTGCTGAAGCACTAGACAATGAGAATGGTGCCGGTTCTGTATTAAAAGTGTGGCTGAAAAATCCTGTAAGTATTTAAAGGTAATCTTGTGGGTCCTTTAACTCATATCAGGTATATAGGCACAAAGTTTTTCATTAATAGTATCAGTTCAGTGAAAGAAATGTGGGCATCCATGAAAACAGTTGATGAAACACATACAGAGTCTCTGAAGGTAGAAAAAGGGAATACACACAGATCAGTCTTGATTAACTAAAAATGCAAGGAGGTACCATAACAAATAGCTACAGGAACAAGAGTTCTACTGGGTTATCTAGGAGCACCTACCTTCAACCATTTAGAAGTAAGATAACAATTTGTATAGCCATATTCCCACTTAAGGAAGTTGAAGTGATGAAAAATCCTAACTTTTCTGTCTTAACTGTTTCTGTACCTAGCACTCTGGAAAAAGAATGATTTCCCAGGAGAAAATGAAGAGACATGTAAGAGACAAATGTGTACGTTGCAATTGTTATTGTAGAAAAATATTATAAAATAAAGATCAGTAAGCACAAACTTTGATGTTTTGGTCATTCAGAATCAAATTGCCAGGGTCAGTCGCAAACTTGAATAGAGCCAAGAACTAGAATCACATATCTTACAATGAATTTTATGCCAGATGCTCACACGCTCATTGTGCATCAAAGCCGCAGTATGTGCTTCAGCGGCAAAGGAAGTCTAGGGAGAACATTGGGAAAGACTGTGTGATTTAAGCCCTGAAGAGGGTCGCAAAGTCTTTTCTCTGCTAAGGAGAGAAAAGCCTCCCGGAACAGGCTCGGCTAGAACGTGGCCGCAGCGGGACTCGAACCACGGTCCCCCATCAGCCCGGGCCAGGCCCCGCCCCAGGGGCGGTGCGCGCGTCCTAGCGACCGTTGCGCCGTTTCAAACACACGCACGCACGGCCCGGCGGCCAATCAGCGCGCGCGCCGCCCGCGGGGGCCGCCGGGAGCCCGCCCGCCACCGGGGCGCGGAGCCACCGCGCGTGCGCCGCGCGAGGCCGGGCGGCCCCTGCCCGCTCCGCTCTTGCCCGCGCACGCGCATTGCGCGGTGGTGGGTGCGGAGCGCGATCGGTACCGAGGGAGGCTCCGGGAGCGCCCCCAGAGCCGTCCGCGCCGGCACCGCCACCGGCCGCTGCTGCTGCTGCTGCAGGAGCAATCGGCCGCCCCCGGGTCGCCCCCGGGATGCGGCGCTGCTGCGGCCGCCCCCCCCGCCGGGCCCGGCGCGCCCCCGGGCTGAGCCCGCGGCGCCGCCCGCGGGGCCTGTAGGGCCGGGGCAGCGGCGGCCGGAGGAGCCGCGGCGGCCGCCCGCGGTGAATGGGCGCCGCGGCGGGGCGGGAGGAGACGGAGCCGCCGCCGCGATGGCTCAGGAGAAGATGGAGCTGGACCTGGAACTGCCGCCCGGGAGCGCCGCGGGCCCGGGCGACGGCGGCGGCCTGAGGAGGTCGAACAGCGCCCCGCTGATCCATGGGCTCAGGTGAGGGCCCCGGGGGGCTCTGGGGAGGAGCCCGGACGGGCTGAGCGAGCCCCAGGCCTCGCTGCGGGCCTTCGGCAGGCCTGGCGCTCCCCGAGCGGCCTCCGGGTCGTGCCCCCTGTTCCTCGGACACACTGTGGCCCCCTGTCCCCCCCTGGCTCGGTGAAGATGCTCCTCCGGTAGCAGCGGTGCTCTTCTTCAAAGAAAAGCTTGTTTTCAGGCCGCAGTGCGTGTCACGGCGCAGCGGAGCTCTAAGCAAAGCGCACCTCGAGAGAGTTTTGTTCACCAAACTTTTGTTTTTTCCCCCCTGCAGTGACAACTCGCAGGTGTTCCAGCCTTACGTGTTGCGGACTCGCAGGAACAGCACAACAGTTATGAGCCGTCATGGAATGGTGAGGAATCTTAAGCATGTCACGCTTGCACACAACAAGGAGTAGTTGGAGTAGAGAAATGAAGTTGAACTTGATCATTTGCACTGTGCATCCCAACGAGCTTCCAGGCTGCAGAATAAGCATTTTTTCACCTGTAACTGCAACTGCAATGAAATAATAACTGGTGTGTTAACTGTGTCCACCCAGGAAGACAACAATAGCTGAAGCTACATGTGATTCCCAGTATTAAGTACAGTCTTTAGGTTAGTTTAGACCTGACTGTGGGTTAGAAGAGAAAACTGTTTTCACAGTTAAAAGTCTTGAAAGGGTGTTTTAATTTGTTGTGAAAATGGAAGGAAGAGTCACAGTTTTTTGCTGATCTGCTTGTTTGACATAGTGCTCTTTTTTTTTTTTTTTTGCAAAGGCTGAGCACTAGACATCAGAAAATCATTTAAAGAAGAGTAATTTATTTGTTGCTCTCTGTTGTAAGTCTGGTAGTGTACAGAGCTGTTTAATATTTCAAAGATGTTGCTTTTTTTTTCACCTTTTCCTTCTCAACTCAGTGATCTGTATGTGCTTTTCACTGAAATTTTTCTGTCTCATCTAAGGGTAATGAAGATTAAGTATTGCTTTTCTCAAAACCTGTAGAACTTAAAGTCCCCAAATAAGTTTTTTCTATGCCTTCTGTTCAGAAAAGGTGAGATGGGATTCAAAATCTTCTACTGTGAGATTTCTTTAAAATAAGAATCCAGAATTTTGGAGCTCAGACTGGTAGATGTGGCAGTGGACACATGGATGTCCAGAGTGGGAACTGTTGGCCCATTTGTATGTGATGGAGTCAGAGTTCCAGAGAAATTAGATGCATAAAATGGCAGAAGCAAAGCTTTAGGGAGTGTTGTTCAAGACTGAGCTGAAACACTGAGGTTTCTCTTTTATAGCAGAGAGCTGGGTGAGAAAGGTTCTACAGGGGTTTGTCATCTTACTCTGGGCAGTGAGGAATTGTGTAAAGATCATAGTTTCATTTGTAGTATCTCACTTGTTTGAGTGGCATCTGTAGCTATTTGTGTACTTGGGATGTTGAGCAGTATCTGCCTGCAAGTCAGTTCTGTGCTGCTTGTTGAGCGATACAAGGAATTTGTAAGTGGTAAAACAAGTCTTTTCTCTTGAAGGTCAGTGTTTGCTTTTTGCAACATTGTTTGAGTCATCCACAGGTAGTTGTACAACTCATTTTTAACTCACTAAGACTGTAGTTAATGGTAAATACTATATATGCAAGCAGTTGAAGTGTGATTTAATCGTTGTGGCTGTCACTTTTTCTTTTTCCAGTTCTTGTCATCATCTCCTATTCGTATTCCTAGCAGCCGACTTCATCAGATCAGAAGGGTAAGTTTTTATCTGTGTATTTAGTAACAGAATGAAAAGTACTATATAATATTGAAGTACTTATATAGTGGGAGTTTCTTTCCTATCGAGTTTGTCAAGTACTAAAGAAAACTGTGTATTTTTCAAGACTTCATTTCAACAAGGGAAGTGTCCTTGCAAGGCTTATTGTTACGTTTAAGCTGCCTTGCATTTTTGAAGTGTTTCATTTAAGAGAAGCAGTGAGCTGGACTGGTGGCAGTCTTGTCTTTTTATGGTGGTTCTACTGTTCATATTTCAATTGTGATGGTAAATCACTGAATCACAAGTGTTATTTCAAGTGCCTGTGATGAATCAAATGTTATGGGGAAACTTAGGACATTTATTTCCTGCAGGAGGAAGGAGTGGATTTAATGAACAGAGAAGCAGCACATGAAAGGTGAGTGTTATTGAAAGAACGTGATAAAATAGCCAGAGTTATCCTTTTTGTAGCTACTGATGGGGTTTTTTGTATTCTAGGGAAGTGCAAACAGCAATGCAGATAAGCCAGTCATGGGAGGAAAGCTTGAGCCTGGTAATCTTTTTATAGATGTTTCCTATTTAATTCTACTTTCACACTTAACTGATGAATTTAAGGGAAAGAGAGGAATTAACTGTGAAAATAACTTAAGAAGAATTTAAGCTCACCTGCTTTAGCTATTTTGTGCATTTGACCCAATGACTTTCCATTACAAGGTTGTGCCTTGGATTTCAAGGTGATATCCTGTGCTGGTGTTAAATCTGAAACCTTGTGTTCACAGAGCGACAATGACTTGGACAAGTCTGAGAAATCTTTTTCCCCAAAGAGAATAGACTTCATTCCAGTTTCACCTGCACCTTCACCTACAAGAGGAATAGGGAAGGTAGGACGAGTGAAATAACCAAACTGAAACAATATTTCAGAACTCCAGACCAAGCTGAACTGTGAAGATGTGTAACTTCACAAATTGTTTCATGGTTTAAAAAAACCCAAACAAACAACACAACCAAGTAAGCACCAAAAACCCCAAACCTACATTTTATTGGGTTCTAAGAATCAGATGGTGACCCATCTTGGACCTTGCAGAGTTTAGTCAGGGAAAGTGGATGTTTTCAGTTACTACTGTTTGTGCAGTGTTTGGATGGGTTGGAGTTCTAGGGGAGCTGGAAGAGGTCATGAAAGTAATCATGGACATGATCTTCAGCTGCAGAAGTGGGGGGATTTTGGGGAAGAAGTACCAAAATTGAAATGTGTCATCATGTACAGTAAGAGTAGGTGAAGACTGCAAATCTGTGTGGTGGTAGGGATGAAAATGTGTCCCTCAGTTATGGAAAGGAAGGCACAAACACACTGTGAAGGAGGACTTGGGTGTGCTGAACTTGCACCAAAAACTGATGGCAGATGCTGGAGAAAGAGGTAG